CTTTCTTTATTAGAATTTTCATCTTTTTTTTCTGGCATTTTTTCATTTAATTCATTAGCTAACTTCATCATTTCTTCGACTTTGTCTAACTGTCTCTTAATAGCAACATAGTCTTTTTCTTCTTTTTCAGTAACTTCTTTCAATTCTTTATACATCTCTTTAAATTTCTTGAAACCTTCATCATTCTCATTGAAATTTTCATGTTTCTCAAACTTTTCAATTTCTCTCTCAAAAGTACGGCAATAAGTTTTAGCTCGATTATCTATTTCAGAGTTCTTTTTGTATTTTTCATCTTCCTCTCTTTTTTTTTCAGCTTCTTTAATCATTTCCTCAACCTCTTCTTTGCTGAGCCCACCACCACTCTCAACAGTAATTGACTGTTTTTTGTTGGTTTTTTTATCCCTAGCTGAAACATTAAGTATACCATTCGCATCAATATCAAAGGTTACTTCAATTTGTGGAATACCTTGAGGAGCTGGCTCGATACCACTCAACTCAAATGTTGCCAGAACTTTATTGTCTAAAGCTTTCGGTCTTTCCCCTTGGAGGACACGAATATGAACACTTGGTTGATTGTCTTCGGCAGTTGAATAATCACGAACAACTTTTGTTGGAATAGTGGTATTGCGCTCAATGATTATATTATTAATGCCACCCTGCACTTCAATTCCTAAAGAAAGCGGAGTAACATCCAACAAAAGAATGTCTTTGGTGCTAGAATTACCCGATAATATTCCTCCTTGAATTGAAGCTCCTACCGAAACTGCTTCATCCGGATTAACTGATTTATTAGGTTTCTTTCTAAAAATATCTTCGACTTTCTTTTGAATGCTCGGCATTCGGGTCATTCCTCCTACTAAAATAACTTCATCAATTTTATCAACTTTGGCATCTTTCAAGCATTTTTCGCAAGGAGAAGATAACTTTTTTAAAAGATCAGCAGTTAATTCTTCAAACTTAGAGAGAGTTAATTTTTCTTCAATGTGCTTTGGACCCGTGTTACTAGCCGAAATATAAGGAAGCGAAATTAAGGTTTCTTCCAGGGAAGACAATTCGTGTTTGGCATTTTCCGCTGCATCTTTCAATCTTTGCAATTCCATTTTACCTTTAAGTTCAAATCCTTCTTTTTTTTTGAACTCTTCAATTAGTCAGTTGATAATTTTTTGGTCAAAATTAGCTCCACCTAAGAAAGTATCTCCGTTAGTAGCTTTCACTTCAAAAACACCATCACTAATTTCAATGATAGAGATATCAAAAGTTCCACCACCCAAGTCAAAAACCGCAATAGTGTGTAACGCTTTATCTTTCTTATCAATCCCATATGCTAAAGAAGCAGCAGTGGGTTCATTGATAATCCTAATCATTTCATTATTTTTTTCTGAATTACTTGAATCACCGAAACCGGCGATAAGAGCGGCATTCATAGTCGCTTGTCTTTGGGCATCATTAAAGTAAGCTGGGACAGTAATTACTGCTTTTTTTACCGTAGCACCCAAATAATCTTCGGCGATTTTTTTCATTTCTTCAAGAACAAAAGATGAAATTTGTTGCGGGGAATATTCCTTATCACCCACTTTTATATAAGCATCATTATTTTTACCAGAAATAATTTCAAAAGGGGAAACTTTTCGAAACTCTTGAACTTCAGGATCATTAAACTTTCTTCCGATTAAACGTTTTGCTTCAAAAACTACTTGTTTGGGCTTGATAATAGTTTGCTTTTTAGCCGACTGACCAACTGATAAAACTTTTTCTCCCTTTTCATCAAAAAAAATCACCGAAGGAGTAGTGTTTTTTCCTTCACTATTAGCAATAACTTTATGGTTGATTGATACACAAGAATTAGTTGTTCCTAGGTCAATGCCTACGTATTCATTACTTATTTTTTTATTCATATTATTTAATATAATTTTTTTTATTTTTTCTTTGTCGACTCACTAATTTTTACCAAAGTAGGGCGCAATATTCTTTGATTAATTTTGTAGCCTTTTTGTAAAACTTCTAAAATTGTTCCTTCTGAATAATCATCATTTATTTTTTCTTCCAAAATAGTGTGTAATATTGGATCAAAGATTGTTTTAAAAGGGGTAACCTTAATTTCTTCCACTCCTTGCTTTTGCAAAGTGTTTTGAAATCACACTAAAATCATTTGTAAGCCTTGAAAAAGATCCTTATTTTTTTTTTGCAGAATATCTAAATCCTCTTTTGAAATTTGTTCATCTTGTTTAATTTTCTGGCTGATTTCTTGATCAATTTGTTGAACAGCTTGTTGAGCTCGCTCATAATTATCGGGGAAAAATAAAAACTGTTGTAGTAACTTTTCATTACCATATTTTATTGTTTCAGTTATTTCTTCTCGATGATTTTTTTCTTGATTTTGTAACTCCGCCATCAAACGAAGATTTTTATCTTGTAAATCTTCTAGTTTCTTTTCTAAATCAATAATTTTTTCCTTTTTTTGAGCTAAACTTTCCTCAACAACATTTTCATCATTTTTAAAACCAGAGTCATTATTATTATTTAAATTTTCTTGGTTTTCTTTTGAATTGTTATTGTCATTATTTTCTTCTTTTAATTCTTTTTTACTCATAACTTTCTTTTAATTCTTTTTTACTCATAACTTTCTTTTAATTCTTTTTCTTGTTTTGTTCTAAAGAGGGAAGTACAGTAATTTTAATTTCATCAGTTCCTTCCTCTAAATCAAAAAGATAATTACCGCCCACATAAAGAAATTGAGAAATAATTCCTCTTCCTATCAAAGAGCCTAATTTTTTTTCGATATAGTGTTTGATTGGACGAACTCCATATTCAATGGAGTAGGATTCTTGGAGAATTTTCTCTACTACCTTTTCATCATAACCTAACTTAATCTTTTTTTCTTGAACAACGCGGTTAATAAACAATTCTAATTCTTTGATTACAATTTCCTTAATTATCTCCTTTGTCAAAAGATTAAAGAAGACTATCTCATCAAGTCGATTCAAAAATTCAGGACGAAAGAGTTTTTTTAATTCAAACCCCAAATCTTCCTTTAATTCATTAAATTCCTTACCTTTAAAATATAATTCAGAACTTAAATTAGTAGTCAAAATAATAATAGTATTACGAAAATTAACCTCCCGGCCGTTAGCTAAAGTGAGTAATCCATTATCTAATATTTGCAAAAGAACGTTGATAACCTCCGGATGGGCCTTTTCTACTTCATCAAAAAGCACCACGCTGTTCATTTTTTTACAAATAATTTCTAGTCTTGGCTTCTCCTCAAAACCAATATAACCAGGCGGTGAACCGATAAGTTTGCTCACTGAATGAGGTTCAGAAAACTCAGTCATATCTATCCGAATAAGATTTTTTTTTTGGTCAAAGAGTTGCTCTGCAATAGTCAGTGCCACCTCAGTCTTACCAACCCCCGTTGGTCCAACAAATAAAAAGGAAGCCAAGGGATGATTAGGATCCTGAATTCCAGATCTAGCTCGAAAAACGCCATCACTAACTGTTCGTAAAGCCTGATTCTGACCCTTCACCCTTTGTTGAAGAATAACAGGAAGAAAAAGCAATTTTTGTTGCTCATCAGCCAAAATTTTTCTAATTGGTAAGTCATATTTTTGAGCAATAGTTAAAGCGATGTCTTCTTGATTTATGAAATATTTTCTTAAAATGTTGTGACTAACTTCTTCTTCCAATTTTCTGATTTTTTCCTTTCGCAAAGGAATAATAGAATATTTTAATTCAGCCACCTTAGCAAGGTCAATATTTTTTTGTTGATAAACAATCAACTCCCTTTCTGCCTGAGTTAATTCTTTTTTAGCCCAACTTAACTCTTGAATAATTTTACTTTCTTTATTATCTAATTCCAATAATCTTTGCAATTCTTCTTGTTTTTTTCTTATCTCTTCCTGAAGTTTGAATAATTTTATTTCATCTTTTTTTTCTTCTTTGATCATATTCATATCTATTTCCAACTCTCTTAATTTTTGATAAATTTTCTCGATTATTTCAGGCTTATATCACATTTCACTTCGTGCTCGTCCGCAGGTTTCGTCTAATAGATCAATAGCCTTATCTGGTAAATAGGAGGAAGTAAGATAACGTTGGGAAAAATTAATGGTCGCCAGCAGAGCTTCGTCATAAATTTTTAACTCATAATAAATTTCTAAATGACTACGAATACTTTGTAAAACCCCCAAAGTCTCCTCCCTGTTTGGTTCGGATACTGTTATGTTACTGAAACGACGTGCTAAGGCTCCATCTTTCTCGATATATTTACGATATTCCTCCTCAGTTGTTGCTCCAATAAATTGAATTTCACCACGAGAAAGCATAGGTTTTAAAAGAT